GCCATCGGTGCCGACACTGTCGATCTCGAGTGGGTACAGTCCATCTACTGGTCTGTTAACCTAAGGATCCGACTGCAAGGTCAAGTCCTCGCTGCTGAGGCTCTCCGTGGTGTTGGTGGTCTCTTCTCGATGCTGATGGAAAGCGTTTCTCCAATGAGCTCGGCCGTCGTGATTACGTCTCCAACAGGATGTTCGCCAACAAGGGACCTTTCCGCCTCGTCCTCAACTCCGCCGCTGCCAACGATATTCACTGGCATGTCGAGCATTACGAGGGCCGTGGTGTTATGAAGCACTTCAAGAGTGGTTATGATCTCGCCAAGGAGATGGGTATCGCCCCCTCCACTCTCGAGCAGACCTTCAAGAGCTACATTGAGGTTGGTGACAAGCAGACTGCCGATCCTGACAATGGTCCCTATGATGCCTACCCGTCTGGAAAGACTTGGGATGAGTGGGGAAAGAAGTTCTTCAAGAACTACAACTACAAGATGGATGACGAGTTTGATGTTGCCATCGTCACTCCTCTCGTTCACTACTGCATGGGTGGTTTGAAGATCGATACTACCGGTCATGTTCTCGACAAGGAGGGTAAGCCCATCCGCGGTCTCTACGCCGCCGGTGAACTCATGGGAGGTGTTCACGGCAACAACCGTTTGGGTGGTAACTCTCTTCTTGACTGTGTCGTCTTTGGCCGTCTCACTGGCAAGGATCTCTGTGAAAATGTTCTTGGTCTCAGCCAAAAGTTGAGTTTGAAGGACTTGAAGGTTGCTCCTGCTACGCAGAAGGCCGCTCCTGTTGCACAGAAGGCTGCTCCTGCTGCCGCTCCCGCTGCTGTCGCTGCTCCCGTCTCTAACGGTTACACTTTGGAGGAAGTTGCCAAGCACAACACCGAGAGTGATTGCTGGGTTGTCCTCAACGGCAAGGTTCTTGATGTTACTGAGTTCCTTCCCGAGCATCCTGGTGGAAAGCTTGCTATCATGACTTTCGCCGGCAAGGACGCTTCCAAGGAGTTCAACATGATCCATCCTGCTGATGTTGTTCAGAAGTACGTCCCTGATTCCATCCTTGGACCGGTTGTCGAGGCCTCTGCTGCGTCGGCCCCTGCCGCTGCCACTCCTGTCGCTGCCCCCGCTGCTGCTCCCGCTGCTGCTACCAATGGTTACACTTTGGAAGAGGTTGCCAAGCACAACACTGAGAGTGATTGCTGGGTTGTTCTCAACGGACAGGTTTTGGACGTGACTGATTTCCTTCCCGAGCATCCTGGTGGAAAGCTCGCTATCATGACTTTCGCCGGCAAGGACGCTTCAAAGGAGTTCAACATGATCCATCCCGCTGATGTTGTCGAGAAGTATGTGCCCGAGTCTATTCTCGGACCTGTTGTTGAAGCCTCTGCTGCTGCCGCCGCCGCCACTGCCGCTCCGGTCGCCCCTGCTGCTGCTACTCCCGCCAACGGCATCACCATGGAGGAGGTCGCCAAGCATACCAGCGAGACTGACTGTTGGGTGGTTGTCAATGGCCAGGTCCTGGATGTCACCAACTTCCTTCCTGAGCATCCCGGTGGAAAGCTCGCTATCATGACTTTTGCCGGTAAAGACGCCTCCAGGAGTTCAACATGATCCATCCAGCTGATGTTATCGAGAGTACGCCTCTGATGCCGTC